CCCCGCCCCCGCACAGGGCCCCAGCCAGACAGCTCCTCCCCCCAGCACTGCCCAGAGCCCATACCTCTGCCAGCTCCCGCTCACTGATACTTCCGGTGGCGCCCCCTTTCTTCCTCACGCAGGGCTCTCCCACGGAGACCCTGCCGTCCCCTTTGGCATAGCTGTGCACAGTGAGAACTCCCGACTGCCCTTGGGCTCGGCAGGACAGAGGCTCACTGGTTTCTGAATCAGAAGAAATAGAATCCCGTGAAGAACTGGAGCCCAGGCTAGAAGATGATTTCTTTTTTGAACCTGAGAGGACAAGGCGTCCCCCTATAGAAGCAGGATTCACAGAAAGATCCAAGGCAGCTGCTTCTTGCTCCTCCTCTTCTTCCTCATCCTCCTCTTCTAGTTTGACGTTTTTAAGCTCTTCAAATTTGACTTCAGAGGAGTCAGAATAATCTGAAACACACACACACATTGGCCAGAGCCAACTTCCCCATGCACATGTGAAGCTAGAGAAAAGCAGAGTGGCAAAGCACAGAGGAACACGGGTGGCAAGTGAGGCGTGGCTTCCGACTCTGGCTCTATCACTGTGTGATCTGGGGCTGACTGCTCAGCTGCTCCAGGCCTCCAGGCTCGTCCCGTGGAGGGTAGGCAGCCTACCACCTATCTCCAGGGTTCTGTGTCTACGATGGAGCACAGCCTGGCACACAGCAGACCCTCAGAAGTCACCTGCAGGAACGAAGGCCTGACCACAGCAGGCCTGGTGACTCCATGCTAGACAATGTGGCAGCCAGGCCCCAGGGCTCCGGTCCACAGTGCTGTCCAGCTGTCAGCAGATGCACCAAGGCACCCTCAGGACAGATCCTCCAAGCCTCACCCGAGGCTGACGCAACTCACCTAATAAAACTACCCTCATCAACCCGAGCGGGTAGAGGGGCTGTCCCACACCGTATTTGACCACGCCACTTCCTTCCTAAAATCCAAGTAGCCCTCAAGCCCGCCAGAGAGCAAACGCTAAGATGGCAGCCAGTCGCCACACCGTCTCACTCCTACTTCTCTAGTCTCATCTCCTGCTAGTACAGCTGTCTTCTACCCTTCCCAACCCTGTATTCAAGTTACAGGAAATCACTACCAGCTCCCCCCAAATAGCTCGTGTGGTTTCAGACCTCCATGCCGGCGCCCCTGCTACTGCCCTCTGGGTGCCCTTCCTAGGTGTCCCCGACTCTGCCTGCCTGGAAAACTCCAACCTCTCTTGTAAGAGCTGCGTCAGCATCACTTCACCAACCTTCGGTGTTTCCCTGACCCCTCACCAGGCAGAGGGTGGGGGCACCTCCCCTACCTTCCGCCCAGCAAGTCCCTCTCCTCACACCCATTCTCACACTCCACTTACACTCTCTGCTCACAGACCCCATCTCCCGACTTTTCCATACCTATGACCCTGCACGCAATACGGCATCTAACACAGAACAGAGCACAGTAACGCTTGTGGGAAAAATACCACAGCCGACGAACCTGGGAAGGGAAGAGCATCCTCGACTTGCCGCACAGAGCTGTGGGTGGGCCTCACGGGAGCGAGGGCAGCCTGGCACTCCGTCACATCGTACTGTCCGGAACTCAGCTCCTCCTTAGGGAAGAGCTCACTCTGACTCACCTCCTGTGGTATTTCAAGACAAACTCGGTGCCTCTTTGTCCCTATACGATGTCTGGCGAGGCTGCGAGGAGGAGAGCACACTTTTTAAGGGCCCACAAATACATTCACATACAGACATGTTCACCCACATCCACACATAACCCAAAATGAATCAACGGCCAGAGCCTGTCCGCTATGCTTCACACTTCAGTCCCACCTCTTGTCTGTGGGAGAGACAAGGGACTTCATCTCTCTGAGCCTGTTCCATCCAACGAAAAATAGGAACATCACCACCCACCTCAAAGATTTGATGTGAAGCTTATAAGGTAAGCAGAGGACCTGGCGGAGCACCTGGCATACAGTAGTTACCCCATAAATATTCCTCCTTTCTTCTCCACATGGCCCAGGATAAACTCCCCAGAAGACAGATCCTCCAGCTTAGACACCAACGACGCTGGCCAACCTCAATCCTACCACCCCCCTGCCCTTATGAGTTTCATTCCCACCACTACATTCTCCTTCGTAAAAAATGTCTCATATAATGGGGCACCTGTCTGGTTCAGTCAGTAGAGCATGCGACTCTTGATCTCAAGGTGGTGAGTTCAAGCCCCACATTGGGCATGGAGCCTACTTAAAACAATAAATAAATAAAAAAATTAAAAATGTCTCATGTGGCAATGAGAATAGGACTTTTCTGGCTCAGAGAAAGCCATGCTCTCTTGTGTATGTGACCTTCGCCCCAGCCAATTACAGGCCCACATACAGATGTGGCCATTCCTGGGGGACAGTCATAAGGAAGAGCCTGGATGCCCTTGCTCTGAGGATTCTGGAGCCTCTACCAAGAAGAAAATTCCTTCAGCTGTGGCTCAAACACCCCACTTAGAAACAGCCTCTCGACAGGTTATGGAAGCTGCCCAGACACCCCTCCCTCAAACAGCTGGGCCCAGAGGGCCGCTGGGTTACCTTCTCTTTAAGTCACCCTCCTCTCCATCCTCAAGCCCTTCCATGTCATCTTCCTCTGGACAATCCTCATTTCCGGCTCTTGGCGGCAATTCGCTCTCCTTAAGAAACTCGGCTGCTTCTGGCGTGGGCAGAGTATGGTCGATAACTGTGCTGTCCTTCCCAGCTTTCCAAAGTTTGTACCTTTCTGGCTGGAACTTCCTCACAAACACATCCATGGAGATCTTCACCATGTCCTTCCTACAGGAGCACTGTCCCAGGGAACCAGGAGAGCTCCAGTCAGCATGCTTTAACGGCTTCCACGCGACCCCCATATCCCATCTCCTTCCTCCAAGTGAAAAAGACACAAGCCCATTTAAACCAAGCTGCTTGCGTTCACAGGCTGAGGGCAAATTGTCCTTGCAAAGCCTTTGAGCATGGGGGGAAGCATGGAAAACAGCAGGGAGGAATGTGCAGCGCTGGGGTGCGCCCACCCAGGCACTCGCTAGGCTGCGTAGAGAAACACTGCAACGAAGCTCCGCACTCACACCCAGGAAGGTCAACGTCCACCTTCCGTCTGAGATCTAGCCAAGCCAGGACCACAGGAGCGAGTGTGCCCAGTCAAATGTCCAGCCTGCCTGCTTCCCTAACCTGAAGAACTTCTCAACAGAGAAATCCCACAGTGGCCAAAGCAAGAAATATCAATGTGTGTGGGGGTGGTTTTCAAGCTCTGGGGACTTAAGCATGGAAACCTCACTTGAGGCGCCCCAAACCTGAGCAAACTTTTTACCCTTCTGTACGAACACAATATGCTGGCACTTCTGCACATCCCTGTCACTGTTTCTGAATTCCAGCAGTTCAAAGAATGTTCTAATCGCCAGCCAGTGTATCTAACAAGAATTTGCTCACCAGACATTTTCAGTCATGGCGTTATAGGAAGAAACCCAACAGACTTACCAGCACAGCTTGTTTGCCATATTCAATCCACCGCCGGGTAGCAAAATTGGTAGACTCCGCACAGTTGAAGCCATGGTTAAAGCCGGCATGGTAACCATAAGGGAAAGTGATCATGAATTCTCCAGCTTCTTGAGTGACCTAAACGAGAGCAGACTTGAAGCACCTGCAGCAAATGGGTGAAGTCTACCCAACTGGCCCTCTGAGCTCCAGCTCTGCCACAGCTTCGCTGAGTAACCCAGGATAAGTCCCAAAACTACCGGGGGTCTTTGTAAAATGCAAAGCCCTATCATATAAGACTCCATCACTGTAACTGACCATTCCTCCAAGTCAACACTGTTCAAGGGGACGGGACTCTGCCCGGGCACTGGGAGCTACAGTACCTCCACCTTTAACATCCTAGGATCGAAGTACGGCTATATAGGTTAGCTCCGGCCCACCCCTAGTACAGAGTGATCAACTAGATTAAAGCTCCTCTGTGAAACAGACCAAAAAGGGTGGCTTCCTTGTAAGCCTAAGGACTTCTGTATGTAAAATCAGCTCACCTTGTCAAAGGGAATTCCGTATTTCTTCAGCATTAAAGGGGAAATCAAGGTCATCTTATGGCGGAGAAAAGCCTCGCAGCTTTGAGCACTTCCAGGGAAAAAACCTGTTCCATTGAACATGGGCACGGGTTAATACACTGCTCCCCACCAGCTCTTCAACCCTGGAGTTGCTGCACACTTGTGTGTCTCATCCGGATGATAAGGAGGATACATCACCACAGATCCTTCTAGCTTCAGGCCAATCCTAAAATTCTACAATGAGCCCTTGGGCTTTCTCCCATGCAAGCTGTTACATAGGTAATCAAATTCTGTTTGGGAGACTGAGATCACCCAAGCTGCCCTGTCCTTATAAAATCCTTGAAACTATTTAGGACCTTCCTGTTAACCTGTATCTCTCAATCTTTTGTTAGTAACACATCCACAGAGCAGACTATCCAAGCTCTCCTGAAATAGGTGGTACAAATCTGTTAAAGTCCACTTAAAAGAACCAAAGCACAAAAACTGAATTTTCACATTTGGGTTTCTGACAGAAGAACCAGACCCAATATGCCTGGTATACGATCTGTGGTCAAATAAACCCATGCCTAATAAAACTGAGGCAAAGACTAGAAATTACTTACTTAGTAATCAAAAAAAAAAAGAAAGAAAGAAAGAATGAATTACTTAGTCCCTTCCCAGGACAAATGGAGGAAGTTTCCGATTTTAATTGCTCTGCTGCGGTAACCAATCCAGCAGTCTAGCTCATCCCCTACACACAGGCCTGAGAAAGGACACATAAGCATGTGACCACAGAGAATGGACATTTTAGAGCAATTAGCACAGCTCACAGGAAGGTCTGACCCAGCACAGGGAGGAGACATAGTACCTTTGGCAAGGCGCTCCAACCGCTTTCCATGCTCAGGGGGAACAGAGTACCTGCAATCACAGAAAAGCATCGCATGCTGAGCAGAGGACACTACAGGAGCTAAGGGGCTCTTTCCCATTCTCAAAACAGCTCGAAATACCAGATTTTTCAACTTCCCAACCACAAAAACTGGAAAGGAGTCTGGAGAAATGATATATTAGACTACTGGGGGAGAGGAGGGAAGAGCCCACAAAGTACGAGTGAATGTAGTTCTCTTATGTTCACTCATTTACTGAGACAAGAGGCAGAATCTATGGTATGCAGTCAGCATTATTCTCCTTTATAATGTTCAAGAAATAAAAAAATTTTTAAAAGGATAGCATTAAAGTGCTCCTAACAAAGCCTAAAAGGCCTAACTGGGACAAGATAGAGGAGGAATGGAAAACGAGGTGAAAGTGGGATTTGATACTAGAGACTAGGCCCCGTATCTGCTGCTGACCCCATTTTTCTCTTCATCTCCATAACAGCTACACTGATTACCCAATAATTAATTAATTATCCTCCACTCTGCAGAGTAGTGATACACCACAGAAATTGCTCTTCATTAAAAAAAAAAGGAAACCACACAACCACTTAAAATTTTTGCAGAACTGTTTAACTTAATATTCTGAAACTCACAGTAAGTCTATTTTAACCTTTACAACTGATTCTAAAGATTATTCCCCAACAGAAATTTCTCATCCCAAATAATTTCATTATGAAACAAAACAGATGGGGAGTAGCAGAAAATGTTGGTCACCCAAAGGACGCTGGGATCCATCAGGCAACCTTGCCCAGAAGTCTCTGGAGGTCCCACTTCCGATAACCTAAAGAGCATGTGTAATAACCAGAAAATCTTCTCTCTCCAGAAAAATTAATATCCAACCTCAGGGAACTTAGGAGTAAAAAGGCAGAAACCATAAAAGCAACATTTACAGATTCTAGAAGTCTAGCCATCTAAGAAAGGAAATGGGACAGCAGTTAGGGGGTCAGCAGAGGCTCAGGTCACCCCCACTAAGATTAGAAACTGGAAAGCATCTGAAAAAAGAAAGGGAAACCTCTGGGAAAGGAGGTGGCTGAAAATGCTGGCAAAGGAAATGAAGACGCACAGTTTCCATGACTCTCGTGACCTGGCCCACGGTGTCCCTGCCAGCCTCCTCGCTCTTCCCTCCTTATACGCGGCACCCAAACCACAATGGACTTCCTCTAGTTCCCGAAGACATCGTGCTCTCTCTCAGTTTAGGCTCTCTGCATGTGTTGTTCCAACCACCTGGACACACTTTCCTCAGTCTTCCCTGCCCAAAAACCCGCCACCTTCCCAGTCAGCTAGTCCTCCTCATGTTAGGTCTCAGCTTCGTTGTCACCTCTTCCAGGGAAGCCTTCTCCAATCCCCACGCCATGTTCATGTACCCTTCCTATGCAGACCTAGAGCGCCCATCAGAATTTCTCTCACAGTGGATTATTATTTCCTCACATGTTCAATCTCCTGACCAGTCTCCTATCTGTGAGAATAGATGCCTCCTGTCTTGGTCACTGCTGTCCAACAAAGCACCTTCACTAAAATGCTGGGACTGAGAGATGGATCAGCATAGGGAGAGAGGAGAGAACAGATCTTTGTCTCCCCAACTAGAGAACATCCCGGAGAGCAGGAAGCATCCCCTCTCAGGGTAAGCACACACTGCTGCTCACCAAGTATTTTTTCCATGAGGAAAAGAAAGCTTTCTATCACCTGAAGGAGTGTCTCCAGTCTTAGAAGTCTGCCTCTAAGAAATGCCTCAGACCTGTTCAGAAGAAATCACAGTGGGAGAGCCTGGAAGAGCCTCTGTGGCTCTCAGTAACTCAGCCAACTTAGCTTTTCATACAAGGGTATTAAATGTCCTGCCCTCTAAAGCCTTGCTATTCAAAGGGGGTCTGAGTGCCAGAGCTCCAACAGCATCTCATGGCTTAAACACCTGGTGACAATGTTAAATGTCAGTCCCAGGCCAGGCCTCCTGAAGCCGAATCTGCATTTTAACCAGATCCCGAGGTGCCGCGTAGGCACATGAGAGCTGAGAGGCCTGCGGTGGCCTGAGAAGCCCCAGCGCCAAGTGCGGCCCGGCTTTACCAGGACTTTGGCTCTCCGAAGTGCAGGTAGTTGATGCTGTATAAGTCCATGTCTTCGGTGTGCCAGGCAAAGGAGGTCTTCCACATGCCGAAGTACAGGTACGGGGTGTTCACACCCTCAATGGTGATCCCACTCTCCTTCTCCACCAAGTCCAGGATTGTTTTCAGCCGGCCAATATTCCACTCATCAACATGCTGCAAAGGAAATCACAGTTGAGGGCAATTATACTAAATATAAACTAAGGCTCTGAACCTACAAATCAGAGAAGAGGTCACAGGTGACCTATCACCTCTAATGAAGATGTGGAATAATGTGGAAACAGCCTGGACCCAAAGACCACAACCCCACTCACTCTTCACAACCACCACTGGAACGGACACCATTAGAGCCCCAAAGGGCAAATACCACTTGGTAAAGATAACCAGTATATGAAAGATGAATCAGGAGGGAACAGCGAACCTCCTGTTCTCAATCCCAGGAGGAAGAGTTTGATCTGAAGCTAAAGAAACTTACATCAAAACAGGAAAGAACTCTTAAACCACCAAAAATACAGCATGGGAATTAACTATCCCAATTTGTGACTCTTTAACCCCAATTTCTACTGGGCAGAGTCTTCAGTAAAAAGTCTACAATGTCACCCAAATCCTTCTCCTCAATTGTAATGGTCTGCTAGGAGCCCACCTCTTATAAATCCATTCTAGATTATTGTGCCCGGCTTTTGTACCTCCCCATCCCAGACCCTTACAGGATCTTCCTGCCATTTACATCTGTAAGTTTCACTTTACACCACTCAAAAAATTGTCATCAACAAACTTGGGATCTATTTAAACCCTTTCCTTCCAATAATTTACAAAAACATTAAATTAATCTGAGCAATAATCCCTGCAACACCCTAGAGATTTTTAAATCATCCAAAAACCGTCCCAGATATTCCTTTCTTAGATTGTATCTGAGGCTGTTCTTTATGTCGAAAAACACTACACCCCAATCCAATGCATTTTGTTATAATAGCTTCGGCTAAAGAATCTTGTTTGAGGGTTCTGAAAATCTAAATATGTTTCTCTTAAATATCCACTCCTTTCACTAGATTAGTCAGTGATCTTTTTTTTGCAGAAACCACACTGCCTCTCCCCCAACATTTTCATTAACTGTGATCCCACCCTTTCAAGAACTCATCAGCTACCACCCACAGACTATTCTAACAGCCCTTGCAAAGAACAGCGCATCACCCAATTCACATGTAGAGTGGGAGAAATAAAATTCAGTCACATGCAAAAATACCCACAATTAAGTGAGCACAGCACATCAGCTGGTGGTGGATCGTTCCTTTGTTCAACCACTCATTCAGCAAGCAGCTTTTACGGGCCTACTGTGTGCTGGTCAGATAAAAATGGTATTAAATTACAAAAACGCTGCCATTTCCGGTGAGTCTCACCTTTTCATAGAGAGTGCCATTCACATCTGCACCATAGATTGGAGGATTGAATGTGAGATTTTTCCAGTATTTCCGTTCAAGCTCTTCAAACTCACTATAGCGTGGGGTACAGTACCTTTCAAAAGTAAAAAAAGTATTAACCACTTATCAGGACTAAATTCTTTAGGCATTATGAACAGCACAAGACACAATTACCTGTTCTAGGGACAGCAAGTTATTTCAGACCAACAAGACATAACCTTGGCCTTCAAGGCTCCAATACACAGTAACTTCCTCAACATCCCTTCTAAGAGCTCTGGGCCTGAGGAAGGTCATGTACATGTAAGAGGCATAATACCCTCAACTCTTTCAAGAGGCCACTAAAACTACACCCTGCAGGAATCAGGAGTGGCCTAGCCACCCAGGGAGAAAATAGGCTTACAAACTGTGAGAACCAAGAATGCAAATCCCTACATATCCACAGACAACCCAAACCTGCCAGCACGTGAAGAGCTGAGGCCTTAGAACAGCATTCACTTCTCCTCACTCTGTAAACGAAATGGCTCCAAGAGGGCTCATCTGTATTATCACTGCTACACTCCCAGCACCCTATGCAGTGGCTAACTCAACAAATAATTGCACCTAAAAACAAAGTATTCTGTTTTATTTATTTATTTTTTAAAGTATTTTGGGCGCCTGAGTGGCATCCGCCTTCAGCTCAGGTCATGATCCCAGGGTTCTGGGATAAAGCCCCGAATCAGGCTCCTCTGCTCCTCAGGGAGTCTGCTTCTTCCTCTCCCTCTGTTGCTCCCCCTGCTTGTGTGTGTGTGTGTGTGTGTGTGTGCGCGCGTTCTGTCAAATGAATAAAAATAAAGTCTTAAAAAAAAGATGCTTTTAAAAAAAAGGAAAAAGATACATTTTTTTATATGTACTCACACACATATAGTTGTCTGTACGTCTCTATGAAAGCACTAAATATATCTAACTCTTTAGCTCAATGATCACCTACTAAGAATTTATTCCAAAAAAAAACTTCTAAAAATTCAAACCACTCAAAAATTACACAGCAATTTAAAAAAGAATAATGTATAAATTGAACAGATATTTGAAAATGTACTTTGTAACTCAAATGGCAAAAAAATATTATGAATGGAAAGAGTGGACGCAAAGACCCCAAACTGTGGGGAATACGGGCTGAGTAGAAAAAAATCTTACTTTAAATCCAGCCTTACACTTTAATGTCAACCTATTCATAATAAAGTTTAGGACTCTTAAATTCCCTTTGAAATATAAGTAATTCTTCCACCTCCAACTGATCTGCTTTATAAATTCAGATTTTTACCTGCTGGGTTTTCTTAAAGCTGGCTGACCATGCACCTAGAAATCAAGGGTAAGAATTTGTTGCATTTCAGATGAAGGGGAAAGACAGGACTGGCTAACTGAAAAAGAGCCATCCTGAAAGAAAAGGCCTCCCCTACATTGAGAGGAGAAACCAGACACAGGAGACTGAGGCCTCTGGCGGAGCCCCCACGTGAGCCGGAAGGCAGGCGAGCCCGGCCCCAGCACAGACCTAGAAACCAGACATAAAGGATGGCACAGCCTTTCATCTGCAAAGCATGTCACACTTCTTCAACATGCTTTTACATAAATTCACTCTTTAGACAGCAGGTTAGTCAGTGATACAGATGTTCTACGAGTTAAGCTGTCAACAGAAGTAGAAAACCAGAGGCGCCTGAGTGGCTCAGCCGTTAAGCGTCTGCCTTCAGCTCAGGCCCTGATCCCAGGGTCCTGGGATCGAGCCCCGCATCGGACTCCCTGCTCAGTGGGAAGCCTGCTTCTCCCTCTCCCACTCCCCCTGCTTGTGTTCCCTCTCTCGCTGTCTCTCTCTCTGTCAAAT